TGCCTTGGGCTAAATTTTATTCTCCACCTTGCTCCAAGATCCCTACTACCCCCTAACTCTGTTTCTTGATCTAGTGCCAATGCTCCTCCTTAATGCCTCTTTCACACTGAGAAAGCGATTATATTCCTGATCCCCAAAAAATCAAGTCTTGCCTCAATCAATTATTACCTCTCTAGCTACCTCTGCTCCAAAATATCCAACTATACCGCTGGCAAATATTGTTCCATGATATTCACTATTTATATTACAGCAGCACTTAGAGAATGCCAGAAAAATGGAAGCCTCCTTGACAATAGGTGTTATAGGAGCATATAGTTCTGGCTCCAATTAAGTTAGAGCAGGAGCCAGCAAGGTTTTTGGGCAGAGTGCCAAAAACATCCACAACCTCGACCTGTAAGATGTTGGCATGCCAGGGCAAATAGCATGGGAGCCATGAGGGGCCTGATCTTTGTTGTGGCAGTGCAATCCCAGCCCCTTCCCCACGGTCTGCCCTAAGGTGCATATACCAAGCAAAATGCCTTCACATGACATGCTCTGGCACCTGTGCCAGGGTTACCAAGGTTAGAGTCTAAAAGGAGGATATATACAAATGGGTGGGAGGAGGAGGTAGACAGAGAAGTGACTGGCACAAAAATCATACACAGCCGATCAATGGTACAGCTGGACTAGAAAGCAGGTCTCCTCACTCCCAGTCCCGTGCTCCATGCAGTAAGTGACGCTGAATGAATAATGCCTATGGGTTTATTTCAATATAGACGTCTCAATGTTGAGAAATCTTGCATTCTTAGCAAGAACAAAAATTAAGATTGTAGTACTAAAATCTATATTTGGACTTGGCCAATATATAGAAGAATCAGGTAGGCAAGTGTAATCTCTGGTAATTCTCAGCCTCTTTGTTGCTTTCGTTACTGATCATATTCTCCATCTGGACATTTTAACACTGGAGGCTCTTGGACTAACATCCCCTTGGTTCTTCTCCTCTAGCACCTCCTGTAGAAAATCCTCCTCTCATACCATCTGGGTGTTACATTCTCTCACATTGCATCCCTTCATTCCTCCTTTTATTCCCTCCATCCTTGGCAAAGTCTTTGAAAAAATTATCAAGGCTCACATTTGCAAGAGCCCGGCAGGACAAATTATGCTGAGGGGAAACCAGCACGGGTTCATAGCAGGCAGATCGTGCCTGACTAATCTAGTCTCTTTTTATGACCAGGTTACAAAACGCCTGGACACAGGAGGAGAGGTGGATGTCGTATACTTAGACTTCAGGAAGGCCTTCGATACGGTATCCCATACCATACTGGTGAACAAGTTAAGAGGCTGTGACTTGGACGACTACACAGTCCGGTGGGTGGCGAATTGGCTACAGGGTTGCACCCAGAGAGTCGTAGTGGATGGGTCAGTTTCGACCTGGAAGGGTATGGGCAGTGGGGTCCCGCAGGGCTCGGTCCTTGGACCGATACTCTTCAATGTCTTCATCAGCGACTTGGACGAGGGAGTGAAGTGTACTCTGTCCAAGTTTGCGGATGACACAAAACTGCGGAGAAGTGGACATGCCGGAGGGCAGGGAACAGCTACAAGCAGACCTGGACAGGTTGGACAAATGGGCAGAAAACAACAGAATACAATTCAACAAGGAGAAATGCAAAGTGCTGCACCTAGGGAGGAAAAATGTCCAGCATACCTACTGCCCAGGAAATGACCTGTTTGGTGGAACGGAAGCAGAAAGGGATCTTGGAATCCTAGTGGACTCCAAGATGAACATGAGTC